ATATAAGTCAGAATCTAGTAGATCCGTTCACAAAGTTTGTGCCATATGTTAGGCATGATAGTAATATCGAAGATATTAGACTTCATCCTACTAGCAATTTTCTGATTTATAATTATGTTTTGGTATTGGGATATTAATACATTAAGTACTTTTGTTTTTAGATATGAATTAATATACTTTGAAAATGATTGTTTTCATAAATGAGGCACTATTCTATACTAGAATGTTTAAATATGTGATTAATATGTTTACTATTATAATTATTTGTAGTTGGTCGTGAATGAATAAAGGTTAAGGTGAAGGTTAGTTAATATTCATGAAGATGAATATGACTCCTTTTGTGAGCCAAATATATATCCTTTGGCCTATGGGAATATCTATGATTAAAGGTTAATGTGAAGGTTAGTTAATATTCATGGAGATGAATATGACTTCTTTTGTGAGCCAAATATATATCCTTTGGCCTGAGATATATGTGTGCTTCTAGGTAGGCATAGTCTTATTCCTTGGTGTAGTTAAACATGATTCCTCAATGTAGTTAAACATTGTTATGAATAAGACATACTTCCATTATTTTATCTATTCAGTTACTAACTAGTCATTTTGTTCCATATTTATTGTCCATTTTTGACTTTTGAAGTTTTCATTTTTCAACTTTAATCTTAAATATTTTTATTTGTATTACATATCACTTGATAAAACTTATAACAATGAAAAAACATTTAAAACATTAAGCCGTTTCCAAATAATCGAATGGTTAACTAGATTGAATGATTAAAAAATACGTTTTTGTTTTCTATATTTTGCTTCTTTTCAAAAACGGATAACTATCAAAAACAATTATTTTCAACTGTCAAAAACATTATAACGATTTAATCATTATTTCAAAAAAAAGTAAGAAACAAACTCGATAATATGATAAAAACACAAACATTCTTCTGTACTTTGTCCCAAGGCTACTGAAACAAATTAAACTACATTCTCATTTTATAAAATTACTCTTCTCTGTTTTGAATTTAACAATTGAACCATTTAACACATAATACTAAACTCGTGAAATTTATATAAAATAAAGATAGTTTACAATCAAGCCAAATTAGTAAATACTTAAGATGTTTCGAATAAACTACAATACATTTACCATAATAGCCCTAATACCCAAATTATATTCCAAATAACAACTGAACTGTTTCCATGATGCCAACATTTTTAACTACGGTGTCATTAAAGCTTTTTTAATGTAGGTAAGAACCTGGTCAACGTTGACCGTCCACACAACTGAAATCGGTGAATAACTAGTCCATGGATTTTCCGTATTCCATCTGCATCATTTATAAGAAATATAAATAAATTAAAAACTCACACTCCACATTCATATTTACTTTTGAATTAAAAATATACTTTTTCAATCCTTGGTCCATTAGAGTATGACCAACACAAAGGCCTTGTGTCTCCACTCTAACAACACCTTTCTTGTAAGTGAAAAGATCCGGCCTAATTAGTGCCACGAAGCTCACTGGGTCATGAAGGAATACCCCTGAAGAAATTTAAAAAAATATATCAATAAATCTTTTTTTGAGTTCATTCATATTATCAATAAAAATATGAACATGTGAATTACCATAAACGCCATCCGATTTCACATGCCAATCGCGGTAAAATTTACAAATATCGCTTAGAAACTGAGCATGCTTCCCTCCACACCGCCTCAATTCATCGAGATCATGGTCTGAAAGTGAAAGACACAAAATCAGTACTGTGACTGAGACTGATGTCAACGAAACAAAAATTGTAATTTTTTGTCCAACCAAAAAAAAAGGTGGGGCAGAGATTCGTTTTCGATCTCTTGTATGTTGAAAAGACCTAAATACCCTCCTGATCCTCATCATAAAAAATAGTCCTAGAAAGTTTGTCCAGTCTGTTCCCGTCCAATCCTGCTATGTGTAACAGACGCAGCCGAAGGCTGCGTTTGTTACACAGATAACGACGGGTATGGACTGGACATGCTTTCTAGGGCTATTTTTTACGATGAGGATGACGAGGGTATTTACGTCTTTTCCACATACAAGGGATCGAAAACGAATCTCTGTCCCACCTTTTTTTTGGGTTGGACAAAAAATTACAATTTTTGTCTCGTTGACATCAGTTTTAGTCACAGTCCAATGCAAGTCAAATACAGTATAGACCTGTTAGTTTGACTTGTGTGGTGATGTTTATGCCAACTACGACTATATTTCCACCCGAAGTGAAGACAATATCCGCTGCTTCAGGGTCCCCATAAATCTAGAAATAAAATAAAATAATGATTATTATTATTCTTGTCTAGATAAGATTCAATAAAAAAGAAAAAGGAAACTATTTCATTGTTGTGGTTTTTTTAGAGTAATGTCCTATAAACTATTTAACACAAAAAAATGAAGGAAATGCATGAAATAGCAATGTGCTTTCATCCATTTGTTTATTATAGCATTCTACTTTCATTTCTTTCTAATAAAGCATTGCACTTTCAGTTTCTTTCTTATTGAGCCATTGTAATTTAAAAATTCTATTTCTTGCATTTAACCCTTTAAATAACTTTCAATTTTCATTTATGAAAAAAAAAATGGGACCTACATTTGCTTCAGCAGCTGGATTAATGTTCCCAAGTGCAAAGAAAGATCCACCAAGTACAACCATTTTTTTCACCTTTGTTACAAATGATGAGTCCCTCTTAATGGCCTAAATTAACAAAAAGAACATGTTAATATGGCATATTGGCATTATGAATGTGTGATATGATTATAAGAATATTTGTAACTTACCATAGCCAAATTTGTGAGGGGGCCAAGTGCAAGTATAGAAATTTCACCAGGGTATTGAGAAACTTTATCAACTAAAAATTCAGATGCTGAAAGCTCTACTTTCTTTGATTTAGGATCAGGTAGATTTATGTTGCCTAATCCATCTAATCCATGCACAAAGTCATTAATCTGAGGCTCTCCACCCTATCACAAAGTCATTAAGAACTTCATGTTAATAGCATACATTGTCATGGTTGATTCTTTTTGACTAATTTGGGCAAAATGACTTAATAGGATAAGCCAAAAAATGTAACTTAATGTATTAAGACACCAAATGGGGACAAAAAGAAGAGCATACCTTTAGAGGTCCAGGGTTACCTTCAGCAACAGGGACACCTGGATGTCCTGCAAGCTCACACTATCCTTTTGCATAAGAAAAAACCCGTAATTGATCATGTACAAGATCCAAATACATTTGACAAAAAAAAAAAAAAAAAAGATAATAACAGAATAAGGGAGTAAGTGAAAAGAAATAGAATACCAGAATCAAAGCATTGCGAGTAGCATCTTTTGTAGAGACATTACCAAAAGTGGTTGTCAATCCTACAATCTCCAAATTTGGTGTTTCAAAAGCCATCATAAGTGCCATGCTATCATCTGCAAATTGGAGAAGAATAACAGAATATGATCATGAACAAAGAACTGTTGTCGAGTGATATAAGATTATGTTTCAAGATTTCTATGAACTTTTCAGAAAGTTCAAAATGATAAACTTCATCATTCCATATCTTCATTTCAACTTCGCATGCATTCGTTTCATATTCAACATTTTTTACTCAAATGTGCATAGAAACGCCGTCGTATTCTATCATTTGATGATTTTGACGTCTTTAGAACTTTTGAAACTGACAATGGATTCAGTTATCGATAGTTACAACACCGATTTATATATCCACTACAATAAACCCATTATTATACAGTTTACTGTAGTAAGAAATTCCTCATTTGAGCAAACAAATTCAAGCCCGATACGCTACTAAATATACTAATCCATCTGAATAATCTCATCATCCACACACAGAAGATAAAATCACAGGGCAATAACATCGCTAAATTCATGGAACTTCATTGACTTTTTCTCGAAATTTGAAATGAAATCCGATTTATAGAAGATAATAAAATAATAGAGAAAAGGAATGAATAGTTACCAATGCCTGGATCGGTATCGATGATGATCTTGTCGGAGACCCCACCATTGCCATTCAACATCAGTGGTGAGGAATCCATGAGAAATTAATCGGAAGAACAGGCGCAAAAAGAGGCGAATTGATGATTTAGGTTTGGGAATCTGTAGAACGATTGGTTGGTTTAACTTTTGGAGGGGCCTCTAGTCAGTTTTATAGTGCGGAAACCGAAGAACTTTATGCCAATGGATATTCAGTTCCTTGTTATATTAGAACTCCTAGAAAAAACTGTCAAATGCTAAGTATTAAATTTTGATTTATATAAATATTATATTTCAGAAAAAAGAAAAATATTAAATTATGTCGATATTTTTCAAATACGAAACTAATTCGACTGTTATACTATTTTTGATTTTTCTCATCAAAATATTAAAAATACAAGGAAAAAGTCATATTAAAATCAATGAATAAATAAATAAAAGCAAACACATTTAAATGCGTTTTAAATATATTTGAATATAATTTAACTTTTTTTTTATAGTTAAATTGGGTTAGGAAATATTGTGCATTTAAATATACTTTGAATATGACTTTTGGTTCATTTGATAAACAACCTTATTTTTACTGTAGCTGAAGAAATCAGTTTTACAAATTAATTTAATTTGTTGAACGTGGAATATAATTTAGATTAACATATTTAACTATTTAAGTATAACTAGTAAAGGATCCCCCGCTTTGCGGGGTTGGTAAGTTTTTGATGATTTACTTCGGATTATCAATTATTTCTGTTGTGGTTTTGAAATATGTTGATAATATTTGTTAAGAATTAACGAAAAATTAGAGGAATTTTTCATGTTTTCACTTGCCATTTCTGTAATGGGTTGGATTAGAAGACGTGCATTCATATTTTTTTTAATCGGGAGTATGCAGAAAGTGACGTCAAGTCTTATTTATTTAACGTGAAGACGGAGTTCATTACATTCGTTTAAACCTACTGGATAAAAACATTGATAGAAAGTAAGTCTAGTGTTAGCTTCTATTTATCCGACGCCTCCTTTATTACATGTTTGTATTTTCCAATCCTTTTGTGGATTGATCCAAGTATAAAGGAGATATTGTCTTGCATGGAGAGGTCCTCAACTTTGGCTTCTTCAAGTATGTTTTTCAAAATTTCATAACTGTCGTTATTGTACTCTGTTTTGTCTTCTGTGGTAAATCCTTCTTCAATTCTGGTTTGGACTGCTTCCATGAAATCTCCTACATCGTGGAGGTAGGCGATAAGCGCCTGCAGGACGTTTTCGACTTCTTTGTTTTTCATTTTCTTGGTTTTTTGGCTGGGATTGGTATTTTCTTGTGAACATGTGCTGGGGGATTGGGTATTTTCTTATATAGTATTTTAAGTTGGGAGGTGGGTTTTGATAATTGACGTGGAGGTATGTATCGGTTTGTGAGTGTCATTAAATTGTTGTAGGATAAATTAGCTATGCTGTGTAAGTCTATTTGGATGATGGTGTGGCTCTTTCTGATGGTTGTAGCAATACTTTGTATGGTAGGCTATGATGGTGGGTGTATTAGTTTGGGGGTAAAATATGTTTATTTTACCTTTATAATTTTACCGTAATTTTGTAAGAATCGTGTGAGTGTTTTGGGTGCAATATTTTTTACAACAAATACTCACAGAAAATAATAATTTTTTCAATCAAATTGGGTGTAAAAATTTCATAATCTGCAAATAATATAATTATTATTAAATAGTTTTGGAGTAAGGGTTACATGTTGATTTTTAGTTAAAAGTAGTTTTCTAAGTAGGGGTAAAACAGTCATATGTGTTGTAATTTTTTTAATAATTTTTTCAATCAAATCGGGTGTAAAAACTTCATAATCTGCAAATAATATAATTATTATTAAGTAGTTTTGGAGTAAGGGTTACATGTTGATTTTTAGTTAAAATTAGTTTTCTGAGTAGGGATAAAACAGTCATATGTGTTCTAATTTTTTTTAAGAACACATAGTCACACAACAAATTATTGTAGTTTCCTTTGTAAAAAATGTTACAAAGAAAACTTACTCAAACATTACAAAGAAATAAAAAATGTTAAAAATCATATTGTTATAAAGTACAATGCTATTTTTTTGCATATTTTCTAAAGTTTTATTGTTAAATTTGATCTTTCTATAAAAAGACCAAAATGACCTTTATCCAAAAAAAAAAAAAAAAAAAAAACCTTTTCTTATCTTTTTAACTACCCATTTGCACGTATCACATCTAATAATTTTTTTAATCAAATCAGGGCAAAATAGTTCTTAAGGAAATATGTCATTGGAACGAAAAATAGATTTCTTAATAACCTTTTCTTGTATGACACAACAGTCACATGTGTTGCAATTTTTATTTTAGAACGCATAGTCACACAGCAAAACATTGTACTTTCCTTTGTAAAAAATGTTAAATCATATTTTTTTTATAAAGTACAATGTTATTTTCTGTATATTTTATAAAGTTGTATTGTAAAATTTTATTTTTCTATAAAACGACCAAAATGCCCTTCTTCCATAATATGAACCTGTCTACTATTCTAGAAAACGTGTTGTTTGCTTTTTATTAAAGTTAAGAGTAGTTTTCTGAGCAGGGCAAAATAGTCATATCTGTTGCAAATTTTTTTACAACACATAGTCACACAGCAAAACATTGTACTTTCCTTTGTAAAAAATGTTAAAAATCATATTGTTATAAAGTACAATGCTATTTTTTTTGCATATTTTCTAAATTTTAATTGTTAAATTTGATCTTTCTATAAAAAGACCAAAATACCCTTTATCAAAAAAAAACCTTTTGTTATCTTTTTAACTACCCATTTGCACGTATCACATCTAATAATTTTTTTAATCAAATCGGGGCAAAAAAGTTTTTATGGAAATATGTCATTGGAATGAAAATTAGATTTCTTAATAACCTTTTCTTGTATGGCAAAACTGTCACATGTGTTGCAATTTTTATTTTAGAACATGTAGTCACACAGCAAAACATTGTACTTTCCTTTGTAAAAAATGTTAAATCATATTTTTTTTATAAAGTACAATGTTATTTTCTGTATATTTTATAAAGTTGTATTGTAAAATTTTATTTTTCTATAAAACTACCAAAATGCCCTTTTTCCATAATATGACCCTGTCTACTATTCTAGAAAACATGTTGTTTGCTTTTTATTAAAGTTAAGAGTAGTTTTCTGAGCAGGGCAAAATAGTCATATCCGTTGCAAATTTTTTTTACAACACATAGTCACACAGCAAAACATTGTATTTTCCTTTGTAAAAAATGTTAAAAATCATATTGTTATAAAGTACAATGCTATTTTTTTGCAGATTTTCTAAAGTTTTATAGTTAAATTTGATATTTCTATAAAAAAACCAAAATGCCCTTTATCCAAAAAAAAAAAAAAACCTTTTCTTATCTTTTTAACCACCCATTTGCACGTATCACATCTAATAATTTTTTTAATCAAATCGGGGCAAAATAGTTCTTAAGGAAATATGTCATTGGAATGAAAATTAGATTTCTTAATAACCTTTTCTTGTATGGCAAAACAGTCACATGCGTTGCAATTTTTATTTTAGAACACATAGTCACACAGCAAAACATTGTAGTTTCCTTTGTAAAAAATGTTAAATCATATTTTTTTTTATAAAGTACAATGTTATTTTCTGTATATTTTATAAAGTTGTATTGTAAAATTTTATTTTTCTATAAAACTACCAAAATGCCCTTTTCCATAATATGACCCTGTCTACTATTCTAGAAAACATGTTGTTTGCTTTTTATTAAAGTTAAGAGTAGTTTTCTGAGCAGGGCAAAATAGTCATATCCGTTGCAAATTTTTTTTACAACACATAGTCACACAGCAAAACATTGTATTTTCCTTTGTAAAAAATGTTAAAAATCATATTGTTATAAAGTACAATGCTATTTTTTTGCAGATTTTCTAAAGTTTTATAGTTAAATTTGATATTTCTATAAAAAAAACCAAAATGCCCTTTATCCAAAAAAAAAAAAAAAACCTTTTCTTATCTTTTTAACCACCCATTTGCACGTATCACATCTAATAATTTTTTTAATCAAATCGGGGCAAACTAGTTCTTAAGGAAATATGTCATTGGAATGAAAATTAGATTTCTTAATAACCTTTTCTTGTATGGCAAAACAGTCACATGCGTTGCAATTTTTATTTTAGAACACATAGTCACACAGCAAAACATTGTAGTTTCCTTTGTAAAAAATGTTAAATCATATTTTTTTTATAAAGTACAATGTTATTTTCTGTATATTTTATAAAGTTCTATTGTAAAATTTTATTTTTCTATAAAACGACCAAAATGCCCTTCTTCCATAATATGACCCTGTCTACTATTCTAGAAAACATGTTCTTAATAAAATACGTCACCGGAATGAAATTAAGATTTTTTGCATATTTTATGTAGTGTTATTTTTTCAACATTTTCTAAAGTTTTAATGTTAAATTTCTTTTTTATATAAAAAGACCAAAATGCCCTTTATCCAAAATAAAGATGAAAAATAACTTTTTGTGTTATTTTTAACCCACAATTTACACATATCACATTTAATAACTTTTTTAATCAAATCGGGGCAAAGCAGTTTTTAAGAATCTGTAAACAGAGATACAAATTTTCCCAAACAACACATACTCACACAACAAAACATTGTACTTTTCCTTGTAAAGAATGTGAAAAATTATATTTTTATAAAGTACAATGTTGTTTTATGGATATTTTCTAAAGTTTTATTGTGTCAACATCATTTTTCTATAAAAAAAAACCTATAATTATTGATTTGCAGTAAATTAATTAACTTTTAAGATTTTCTTTTGCAGACCAATATTTCCGAGTCTAAAGTTAATTGTTCTAAACCGGTAATCACATAATTTGCAGAATAAGTCATTTTTAACTCGATAATCACATGATTTGCAATAACTCATTATTAACTCAAAAGACTTTGCTAACTTGATGTAGAAAAGCACGTATTAGACTGTGATGATGCAGAGATTTGGAACACTATGATGTGAACTTGATCTTTGAAGAAATAGTGATAGCAGACGAATTGGAATGTAGTCATACATAACTTATAAAAATTATTTTGAAAAGGATATCAAAGTTTAATTTGAAAATATATAGTATTCAAAATATTAGCTATGAATGAAAGGGATTGCCGTGAATTTCAAAGGTAGCATATGATAAGTAAACATTTGTTGTTTTTATTTTGAGTTTTATTTGTGTGTAAGGATTTTGTAGTGAGGTGAGTATGATTTAATTTTTTTCTTACATGTTGATTATGTCGTAAGTTTTTATTTGTATAAGATGACTAAAAAGATTTTATTTCTGAGTTGATATTGCTTACTTTATGTTTTGTTTGTGAATGATTTACTGTGTGGTAGGAATGACGTTTTTTTTAACGATATTACTTTCTTTTGGAATATTTAATAATACTTTTATACAAAAGGTTCATTACTTTGTGGAGTATGTGTTTACAATCCATAGTGCAAAATGACGGTTACATGTTTGTAATCCTGATAGAGTACAGTTGTTAGAGGGGTAAGTGGTTTACATATAACCTACTGCCTTTTATATCGGATGGTACATAAGCAGAAATTTGGGATGACAACATAAGGTGAGGTTGGTGTTTACTCTGCTCTACGTCCTCGCTTCGGTTGTTTCTTTAGTACAGATTCAGCTGTATGGTAATAAAAACTGAGTTATAAATCGACATTTTTTATCCAAGTAAAGTGGATATGTAAGTACCAGCGGTGTCGTATGTCAATGTTCTTGCTGTGTGTGATGTTTGTGATGTTGTAGATGCCATTCCAAGTATAGGATTGATTTCAACATTTGCGGAACCTTGAAGGTCTGCTGGAGTGATTGGTGTTGTTGTCGTTGTAGTTGTTGAAACTTGTGTTGGTGTGACCGGTGCGACTGACTGATTAACCATGGTTACTTCATGTATGTCAACGATTATGAAACGAATGTTTTCAGTTGTAGAGCCTTTTAGCATTTGGATTGACATGGTCTTTGATGTGCCCTCGTGATCATTGATAAGTGTTGGTGGGAGCTTTTTATTACTTTCATGATCATCAGTCATTAGTTTTTCTGGTGTAGCACCAATTAGTTTTTGAGCCGCGCCATCGGTCATGATTGTAGTTAGAAAGCCCGTTGGTTCCGTCAGAGTTGTAATTAGTTTATACCTGTATGGGGTTATTATGTGTTAATAAAACTTAGCATAAATAACTTTTGCTGGTATTACATTTCTGGGACATAGTGATATTTACAGGAATATGGGTGAGGCTGTTTTTCCGTGAGCACTGCAACTCCAGTAATTGCTTTTCCTGAAAATCGGATCTTTGCAAGTTGTGCATAGTACTTGGAACCAGCAGTCTTTGAATGTGATTGTTGTCAGTGTAGCTTTTACATTGAATATTTTATCCTGTATTTATAGATTCTTATATCATTGTAGTTTTGGTAATAGTATGTCAGAAGGTTGTTATAGAGGTAGATAACATACCACCAGTTCACTATGAATCTTGTTGTTTAGCTCATGCAGTGTTGTTAGTGGTCCAGATGCTGTGGAGGTTGGGGGTGTAGGGCCAGTGAAGCTACAACCGGATTTGAGTTGTGAATGTATGATATTAATATATAATAATCTACCTTATCTTTGGTAAAGTATAACAGACCTGTGGATTAGAAGTGTTGTCTCCTGGATGGGGGGATTGACATATACGTGTGTGGCAGGTGATGATCCGAACCTTAAAGTACCTGCTATGTGTATTGATGAAGGCTTTATATTTGTAATGGCAACAACTGTTGTCGCAGGAGGGGTTGCCAACTCTTCAAGTCTGAATTTCTCACGAACATCAATACACTCTTTCCGTAAACTGATCGCTATTTCATCACCACTGAATTTTATATACATAGTAAACATTAAAAAAAGTAAAAGTAATCATAAGAAAGACTGGGCTTTGTTAAATGTTGTCAACCTTTCGTCTGCAAGAATTAGAAGAACGAATTCTTCTCCATTACGCTTTGTGCAATTTCTCATTTTTTTTAGCACGCCAATGAAATCTGTTAGTTCAAATAGAATGTAGTTAAAACTGGAAGTAATATTAATATTACATCTTTTATGTATATACCTGGATAATACGACGGGTTTTCACCTAAGTTGAGGAGATCTGTTTTCGAGGCAAATCGGAACCAGGTTGCAAGGATTGTGACAGTGTCAGGAAGAGGAACAATTATGGAAATCAGGCCAACATCCATATAGATTTCGTTTTCTAGAACTTTCTGATACTCGTCTAAATAGGGACAGGTGTACTCTGATATTGTGTAGCAGTTAGAGATATGGAAAATTGATTCTATGTACCCCTGATTTGTTCTTTGTCCCAGAATCTGTATAGCATCTCCCTAATGTATTGAAATACAGTTAACTGTTAATAACGATCAGTAATCATAGTGTATTTTTTTAATGAGGTTTGATTTGCTTACGTATTTGTCCACACCGAGATACCATGTTTCATACCGACGGTACTGTGGTTTCCATTTGTGCAGAATTCGCACCTGTAATGCTCCTCCCTCGCATGCATACTTCAGGTCAGATATGTTAGTCATGTCTCTGTTAATTCAAGCAATAAAGGATGGGTTAGTGATTATATATAATGATATTAATGTAAAGAGGCACAATACAAGTAAAAGTGAATTTTCAGGGAAAGAGTACATAGGTAGATAGTAATGGAATTATCAACCTCATTACAGTTAACTTTGGATAAGAAATCTTTAAAAACGACATTTTTTGTTTGATTATGAGGTGTACATTCGTCATTGTTTATCAGGATTTTCAAGGATGTAGGTGATGTTGCTCTTGATAATGCAACATAAAGTTGACCATGTGTAAATACGGGCTGTGGCAAATAGATGCCAATCCTTTTTAGTGACTGCCCTTGGCTTTTGTTTATTGTCATGGCATAACAAAATTTAATTGGGAACTGTTTACGTTCAAAGGCAAACGGTAGATTAGCAGGTTTGTGAACGAATTTAATGCGAGGTATGTATACACGCTTCCCAGTGCACGTTCCTGTTATAATTGTTGCTTCAATTATGGTTGGAAGTAGTTGTGAAACAATTAACCGTGTGCCATTACACAAACCTTCCCTCTGGTTAATGTTTCTCAGCAACATAATAGGATCTTTTATTTTCAGCTTGAGAGTGTGAGGTGGGATTCCAGCAAAGGTTAGCTGATTTAGATATTCAATGGGATATAAACCCTCTAACTCTGATGTATATTTGCCATTAGGTTGCATAGCATCTGTACTTTTATAAACCCTTTCATCGGTCTTTACCATTTCCAGAATTATTACGTTTAACTTGTCAGCAATGTCATTTGTGGGACAAACAATAGCCCTTACAGATAGATCGGATGGTGAGGGATTGTCCAGCAGTCTATTTCCATAGACAAAGAGGATTAGGTTTTTCAAAGACTCACTATCTATTGGTATTAAAAGCGAAGGTGGTATTTCTACCCAGGTTGTAGTATGTGGATTGTCTGCATCTGGCACACCTAAAGTTCCATTCCCAATGTTAAGCAGCCAGTCAGCGAAAGCAACTATGGATAGACCCTCACTTACATCAGTGGTAGTCTGTGTTAAGCGCATGTTGTGATGCAGTGTACAGACCTCAAAATATGACCACAAGTATGAATTTGGAAGGGTTAATGCAATAATCTCAGTTCGGGAACTTTTTGGGGAAACTGGAAGTGTTTGACGGAACTCACCACCAAGTAAAACTGAAATGCCACCAAAAGGTCGTTTTTCACACTCCAACACATCTCTAAGAGATCGATCGAGGTACTCAAAACATCGACGGTCGCTCATCGGTGCCTCGTCCCATATAATGAGGGATGTCCGTTTGAGCAAATCTCCAAGTAATGTCCTTTTCTTGATGTCACATGATTTTTTTTCAGCCAAATTGATTGGGATGTTAAACCGTGAGTGAGCAGTTCTTCCAGAAGGCAAAAGTAGAGATGCAATTTCCGAAGCAGCCACTGCAAGAACGATTTTCCCAATAGACCTGAAGTATGCAAGTAATGTAGTCCATAAAAATGTCTTTCCAGTCCCGCCATGTCCGTACACAAAAAGCAACACCTGTTTTTTGTTTTCTTCGGATTTGACAACGGTCTTATAAATACGCATCTGATCTTCATTTAATTGTAGAAACATTTGTGAGTGTTGGTGTTGCAAGGACTCCTTATCATAACTTGACTCTTCTAGCAAGAGACGATTTTCCAGGACTACAATAGTATCCGGATTTGTCACGGGTAAATGGAAGTTAGCTAACGATCTAGAAGGTGTAGAAGATCGGAGTGCATTTTCTAGTTCAAAAAGCAGTTGTTGCTGCACTATATCATCATTCATATGAAATCGTTTATCTGGGAACTCGGTTTTTAGTTTAAGCAAGTAATCATCTATCATCTTCCGCCATGCAACATCCCAAAGTGATTGTGGATTACTTACATCACAAAAAAGCAGTAGATGACAGAAGAGGGAACGTAACTGTGAAGAAGTAGCCCATGATGAAGCTTCAATGAAGGCCGTCAGCCATTCCATGTCCTCACCTATTAACCCTAGTGCGTTACATGCACTTCGAAAAGTTGGATGAAGATGACCATGCACCGTACGAACATCTTCATAAGATGTGCATCCTTTTTGATGACAGAGTAACATTCGAATATAGAATAACTCTCCCGAAGATGGATGGACAAACACAAGCCTACCTATACTTTTTGAAGATTCTAAAACTCTTTGTCCCCATTCCTTTGATCTAGCATCCCACACGTATCTATTTGGGTAGTCTATATACGTAAGATCTCGATCTTGTGGATCTGTTGCATTGCTGTCAAACCTTCCAAGTAGTAGTGTTCTTGCAAAACCAGGATTGCGAAGGACATCTTCTATTCTACCAGCCTCTTTGAACATAACATGTTGTATATTTAGTAAGTGGATAGGAAATATCATGACAGGGGGATTCCGTCGATGGATGTCGAAATTAAAGATTCTCCATGCGGCCTCATGAGGACATATATAACATGCATCTAGAAAGTTTTGGACTTCGTTCAAAACTCAAACCTGTGAATTTGGATCACCAGAGTCGGCCACCTCACTCTTTTGAACAACAAATCTAACACGTTCAACCCCTTTTGAAATATATTTGAATAGATATTTGACCATCATATTCCAGCCACAATATTCAACGTTTATATGCGCATCGAACCGACTACACAACCGCTTGTTATATGGGACAACATATCCGTTATCGATAACAATACCATTTTGCATTGTATGACGTCTCACTGCATCCCTTTTGTAGTGTGCGTAACCTTCGTCATCAAAAGTTGTAGCGTCACGAAACGGTTTCGGAAAATGCTTGCTACATTTCCCATCCTTCATACAAGGAGCTTTATTATTTAACAGACCACACGGACCATTGATCATACACGTTGTCACTGTCCGATGCAACAATGCTTCTGAAACAGGATCTGGAAGTTCAGCACTTATAAAGCTGTCAATATCAGCAGGTTCTTGGATAGAATCTGATTTCGACACCCACAGAAGTGTGTGACAATGCGGTAATCCTCGCTTTTGGAACTCAATAGTGTACAAATCTGGAGTATAGAAAGATGAGAGAAAACTTTAGAAACCGTAAACAGAAGATATAAGTAGTAGGAAACAAAAACTAACGATACTTACGTGCTTGAACTTCGCCAAAAGTTTTACCTTCTTTTAGAAAGTTAATAAAGTCAGCCACTTTCATCTCGAAAACCCTAGTTATGATGTTAGGTCTATTGTGAGCATCACGCTGACCATAACTTTCCATGTGCCGTCTTATCTCTGGCCACTTGACATTGCATGTAAATGTAATAAAATATTGTGGATTCCCATACACTCTACAAATCGATAAGGCGTCTTGATAATGACTGTACATATATCGGGGACCACCAACAAATGATGCAGGTAAGAAAACACGTTTACCCACGAAACGGTTCTCTCTATCCCCTTTAGAGAGGGCATCATAAAGACCGGACAAAAATTCGGATCGTAAATGGTCCTGATTGTTTAAAACATAATCTAACCGGCCAGCTTCAATACAAGTATAAGCATCGACAAGGTACTGTTGGTAAAGCCGACCGGAATTGAGTATAAGAGAATACATACCTCGACGTGCATAGATTTGATAACTATAATACATGTTTACCGTGAGGTTCCTAACACTGTTCCCCGTCTCATTACGTAATTTCAAACGTGGAGACCAACCCTCCTCACCAAATGGGAAAAGCAAAGGATATTGTAGTGGCATATAACTTGGGTGAAGTTTACTTACTCGTTGAGGAATACTAGATTTCGAGTGAACAATGATGTCATACTTGCTACAATGACTGTCATCGCCAGTAACAATACAACCTAAACTACCAGCAGTTGGGCAACCATACCTATGATCAGGGACGTCACTGAACAAACAAACTGCATAGGAATCTAATTTCATAGCTTCAGCCATTTCTTTAGCTGTTTTGAATGTCCTAACATATTCATTATGAACTGAAAGGGATTCCATTAGAATTTTTACAACAGCACCATCTAAATCTTTTTTAGTAGAGGTGTGAAAGGCTTTCAACCGATTAGAAACCTCATTAGCAGTATCGACAACATACAACTGCAAGAACCTTGGACCTTTAGACTCATCAGGACACAAAGACCCTATCCAATGACAAACCTGACCAGAAACCTTAAAAACATATGGACCATGACCGTTGTTAATATCCTCGTCAACAATAGACCCAAAAGACGTCATGGAAAACATACTATTATAACCTCTAATGTCGTTCAAAAAATTAGCATATGTATAAAGGTTATAAAGTTCAAGAGGAGGCATTCGCAGAAGAGGTAACACAACAGAAGCTCCTTTACAACAGTGATTATACTTAGAATGATTAGTTTGACGATGATTTCCAATCCTTTCAATATACCAAAACAAAGCTCCACAAAATTCACAAACACATATACAATCCCCACAGTCATAATACGTAGGAAGCGCAACAGAAGTAAAAAAATCGAGATCGTCGACTCCTGCGCAAAAGAGGAGCAACAGAAGCAAAAGAGGGAGACCCACAGTCACTAAGCTTACGTTTTCGACAGTTATTCATAATCAGAAATCAAGGAAATTAAAAGCTGAAAAAATTTACCATAAGCAAGAAGAAAACAAAAATTAAAGACGCAGTCACAAAAGCCCTAATCGACAAATGATGAAGAAGCAGCAGAAGAAAAATACCTAGAGCAGATAGATAACCGGAGAAGAAAGAAAGCGGAGGCAAGAAAACCAAGGAGCATCCGGTAGACGACACGAAAAAACCACGTAGGCAAGAAAATTAAATCAAATCCACAAAATAATAACACGTGCGACAGAATTATATATTATATAGATATATATAAAAGGATATGGAGATAACTGAAGAAAAGTATACCCAAAACAAAAAAGTATCCAGAAAATACCAAAAAATCGAAAACTTACAATTGTGAAGGTCATGTGGTAGAATTCGGAAAAACAAAAATTGTGGGAGGAAACATAGAGAAAAGGCAGCGACGTGTGGCCAAAATCGGAAAAGCAAAAAGTGACTGTACATAAGCGTCCGCTCAATTTATTATATATATAATATGACACATAAACTTAAAAAATGATCTCAAGTATAGCTTTACAAACATACCTAAAATTTGAACATTGGTTGATATCTTAAACTTTAGGTGCACCTAATTTGAGTTTACATGAATTTATATTTGATAAAGTTGCAATTGCATTCTTACATCGATGGAACCACTCATATAACTCTTCAAACCCTACATATATAATCTGTCGTTTTGTGTTGACATACATGCAATATGTAATCTACAAGTTTCTTATATAGGCTAAATATTTTATTTAACTCATTAATTAAATAGCATGATTTGAAGAGTTTTAAGAGTTAGAAATCATAATATTTCAATTAATCATAAATTTGTATAAGTTGAATAGTCTTGGAAGTTTCAAATGCATGAGGTTTAAGGAAAAACGCTTGTTTTATGATATATATATATATATATATATATATATATATATATATATATATATATATATATATAGGGTAAAGTGAATGCACCTAACAACCTTATATAAGCTTGGGTATCTAAACACTATCATGCTACGTAGTTTTTTTTTTAAATTTTATTATATTTGTATTCTAATCGCCCAAAGTTCTTAAAATTCAACCTCGTAAGTTGATTACTTTCAAAATCTTTGGACTTTCACCATTATCTATCTTTAAATCACGTCTTTATGTCGAATACTTCCTGGTGGGCTTCATGTACTACCGCTACAAATCAAATGATGTAGGAGGAATATAACGGTGAATCCGAAAAACATGGAAGTAAATCAAGTTTAGAGTTGAAGTTTAAGAACCTTAGGCGATTGCAATGCAAGTATAGTATAAAACGAAATGATATTATGTGGTTAGGTACCAAAGCTTATATAAGGTTGTTATATATATATATATATATATATATATATATATATATATATATATATATATATATATATATAGAGAGAGAGAGAGAGAGAGAGTAAATTACACAAATGGTCCTTATGGTTTAGGGTAATTTGTGCGTTTGGTCCCTAACTTATACGAACTATAGATGTATCTAAATTAATTTGCAATTATCATTTTACATTACTAGAATGATCGTGAAATAGAATTGCAATGGATTGAGATATAAAAGTGTATTAATGATAGAATGTTAGGGCATGTCATATAGTGTATTCCATTAATTAACAAATAAAAATTTATTTTTTAATATTATATATATATATATATATATATATATATATATATATATATATATATATATATATATATATATATATATATATATATATATATATATAATCGGGTTGGCAGGTTGACTAGCGGACCCAAGCATGTAATCTAACCCAACCTATGAAATAAACGGGTTGACTGGTTAGCGGGTCAGAATTATCAACCCAAACCGATTTATTGTTGTGTTGGGTTATGGGTCGGGTAGAGAATTGGCACCCCTATGGAATTCTTAGCATATCCCATGAAGATACAATTAATACCTCTCTCACCCGAAGTCTTCGTCTTTCGTTCAGTCAGTCTTACAACTACACGACAACCCTAAACTTTTAATATATCCTCATTTTGGTTTCCTTTTGTATCAAAGTTTAAAGGAAGTTGTTTTTCCTCTTATTCAGAACTCTATTTAAAAGATAACAAGCTGTTAACATAGCTTCTCCCCATAACCCATCATTAAACCTGAATATAACAACATAGAATTCATCATTTCCTGAAAAAATTAATTTTCCTTTTAGAAATCCCATTTTGTTGAGGATTATATGGAGATGTTATTTCATGTTTGATTCCAATAGATTGGATATAACTAGGATCATAAAACTCACCACCTCGATCAATGTGAATTGATTTGATTAATCATTTTATTGCAATTCAACTTTATTTTTTTTATAAATTTTAAATTTATCAAGGGCTTCATCCTTTGAATGCAACAAGTATACAGAGGAAAAATGACAGTAGTAATCTATATAAGTAACTATGTATTTATTATTTCCTAAGGATGGATTTAAATGAAAATCACATCCATAACTATAAATTAGTTCAATCATAACATAATTTCTTTTAACATTAGGAAAAGGTTATCTAATAATCTTAGTTACCATGCATGTTTTATATTTATCTATGTTAATTCAAAAGATAGAATAATCCATTTTTAGACATTTAAAGAAATCTTTTATAATATACATGTCCTAAATGAGCATGTCATAAAGAAGAATCATCAATACTTGAACAAGTCCTTTATTGAACGACTTAGCTCACTAGATAATAAGTAGACCGCACCATCACTTACAACCCTTTCCTCTG